CTTGGAAAAACAAAGAAAGAGTAGAAGATTAACTTCAGGAATGGCGGAGGCCTACACCATGCTCTTGTTTCATCTTGGATCACTGTGTTTTCCTGACAGGGTATTTGGCATTGTTCTAATCATCATCAGCATCCTGTGGGTCCCATTGGTACAGGTATCACAAAATGGACAGCTGTTCCATTATACAGGATCATTTTCTAGCTACATTGGGCCTCCAATTGGTGCTGTCTTCACGCTTGCCATCTTCTGCAAAAGAGTCAATGAACAGGTAAGGGGAAATTAAGGAATACATTTGCAAGAAAGGAGCAATTACAACTTCTTCTAGGATAGGAAAAGATATTCTTTTGTGGGTTTTTTTTTTTTTTGTTTCGTTTTAAGTTTTTTTCAAGGAAGGGTTTCTCTGTGTAGCCATTGCTGTTCTGGAACTTGCTCTGTATATCAGGCTGGCCTCAAACTCACAGAGATCCACTTGCTTCTGCCGCCCTTAATGCTGGGATCCCAGGAGCACACCACCATACTCGGCTGGAAAAGAAATCCTTTTACTCAAACAATGCGGTCCATGCTTATGGATCCAGAATCTAATTTAGAAGCTTGTGTCAGAAAGACATCTAGAATTTAGAAGTGCAAGACCAACATGGACAACACAGTGACACGTCATCTCAAAAGTAATGAAGTCAGTCCAACCTAGGTCTATCACTTCAGGCTCACTTCAACTTCAGTTGTGGTAAACCACAATTTATAGTGTTCACAAAAATATATTACTAGACAGTGCACATTCATATTAAACTCTTAGCATAGCATTTTTTCAAAAACTGCACGCATTCATTATAAAGTTTTTAAACACACACACATTTTCAAGACAGGTTTCCAAGGTCCAGTCATAGTTTTACCATATAACAATATTGACAGCAAGCAAATCAGTCAACTGTATAATACAAAAACAGCTGTGGTGCCTACCTTATTTGAATGCTGAGATGGTACAAAAAGATGATACGTAAAAGGTTTACCAAAAAAATCAACCATGCTAGTACTAACTTGAATATATTAAATGTATTATTTTATAAGTGATTCTTGCACACCATTATCTTAATCCATTACCTCTTCTGAAGGGTTGTCTATTAACAGGGTCTTTGGGTGAGAAATAAGTATGGAGAAGCTGATGCCTGCTTTTCCTGCCCTG